CATAAACATGTGAATATATATATATATATATATATATATATATATATATATATTTAATTTTTCCTCACCTACCCTAACCATTATAATTTAAAGTACCTTCTCAATACTCAAACTTCTCAATCATATCCCATGTTTCACAGCCAGCCGTCATTTCCTGCTAAGAACTTTATTTTTCACAGAAGAATTTTGACCATTTTCTTGTTTCTTTTGTTCTACAGTTGCTGCTGCTGCTGATGATGATGATGAGGAGGAGAATGATGAGGAGGATGATGATCATTTGTACCTTGTGTCATCTCTTTCTGCCACTTGATGGCTCTGATGAGAAAGCAACAAATGTCTGGGGATGGGGTCTGCCTTTGATTGATAGAAAGCCTCACTTAATCATTCAGACCAGCAATACTAAGTTTGCTTCTCAAAGGAAGACGAACACAAAAGAGGTTTTGTAACCAAACGACAATCTCCACTCTCATCCTTTCATTCACTTTCTTTCTTTCTCTCTCTCTTATGTCTCACTCTTATTTTTTTCTTTCTTTTTGTTTTTTCTAGTCTTTATTCTTTAGTTCCTTCTCTTGTATTTCTTTGTCTTTTTCATTCATTTTTCTTTCTTTCTTTCTTATTTTCTTATACTTTTGTGCTCATTCCAGTTTCTATTTATTTATTTATTTATTTACTTATTTATTTATGATTACTTTCTGTCTCATTTTCATTTTTCCCTTTTTCTTTCTTTCTTTCTTTCTTATTCTCTTTTTTCCTATTTAATTTTCTTATGTGCTTTCCTTTCTTTCTTTCTTTCTTTCTTTCTTTCTTTTTTCTTTCCATCTCTCTTTCTTTCTTTCTTTCTTTCTTTCTTTCTTTCTTTCTTTCTTTCTCGACTCTGTTTCTTTCTCAACTCTTTCTTTCTTTCCTTCTTTCTTTCTTGACTCTTTCTTTCTTTCTTTCTTTCTCTCTTTCTTTCTTTCTTTCTTTCTTTCTTTACTCTTTCTTTCCATCTTTCTTTCTTTCTTTCTTTCTCAACTCTTTGTTTCTTTCCTTCTTTCTTTCTTTCTTTCTTCTTTCTTTCTTTCTCTTTCTTTCTTTCTTTCTTTCTTTCTTTCTTTCTTTCTTTACTCTTTCTTTCCATCTCTCTTTCTTTCTTTCTTTCTTTCTCGACTCTTTGTTTCTTTCTCAACTCTTTCTTTCTTTCCTTCTTTCTTTCTTGACTCTTTCTTTCTTTCTTTCTTTCTTTCTTTCTTTCACTTTTGAATCTTTCTCTCTTCCTTTCTTTTTTTCTCTTTTGACTCTTTCTTTCTTTCCTTCTTTCTTTCCTTCTTTCTAGCCTATTTATTTCATCTTATTTTTTCTTTCATTCCTATTTTGTTTTTCTCCTTTCTTACTTTCTTTGTTTATTATTTCATCTATCTACTTTTTTTCACTCTTTCTCATTTCCTTAATGTCCTTCTTTCCTTTCCTTTCATTTAATCTTTCTTCTTTTTTTATCTTTTTCTGCTTTCTTTTTTCCTAAACTATTTTTAAATTTTTTCCTCTGTCATTTTCCATAAGTCTAATATTTTCTATATTTTTTTCTCACCAATGCTCCTTCTGATCTGACCAAGTCAAAAGATTTCCGCCACTTAATGTCATCTCATGCGCTCAAAATATTGATATGTCTGACTTCTTCATCTCATGATTCTTCTGGACAGACAGAGCAAAAGCATGATACGAACTGATGCTACAATCTCAAAGAATGTTCATTGCTTGATCTCTCAGCTAAGGCTCAAAGTAATATAAGTAATATATGCCCCAGGGAAAAGCAGAAGGAATCAGGCAGTTTCAAGCTGAAGCTCTGCAAAATAGAAGCAAAACATTCAGCCTGAAAGTAAATTTTTACAGGTGTTCAGAAGAAAATATCCTCTTGGCATTTTTTGCTAGATTAGCCGTAGGAGGGGAAAAAAAAACTTTGTCAGACATGGTTATTTTGCAGAGAAAATCATGTCAGTCATTTTTCATGTTTCTTACCCATTCAACTTAGGTTTGCTTCTTTCAAAATTCATTTTTTCTTTCATGTTTTTTTTTTACAGTAATACTTTGAGGGCCTGCCTATCTTTGACGTGTGAACACTGTCTCAAGAAAGATTGTAACTTTAGTTATTCTTAATTTAGATTTATCCTGTTTTGTTTTATTCTTTTTTTTAAGAACAAAGTGAAGATCATTCAATCATATTGCAATAAGTTTTGGCCCTTTTAGACAGAATAGTAGCTGTTCTCATGATGGTGACATATTTATCATGAGATGCTAAAGGCTAATATTCAGAGGCTTGCCAGGCCAAAATGGACGTCAGTACACCCAATAGGTTTGAATTTAGTGTTTTAAACGGGCTATCTTCTAAGGCTAAAGGACTCACTATGCCCTGTTATTTAACCCATAGTGATCAAGAAGAAATGAATTCATACCTTTCTCAAAACAGGAACTATGATCTGGTATTCAAATCAGATTAGTGTTGGTATGTACCCTAAATCCAAAATTCAGCACGTAGAATTGGTAAATATTAAGGATCAGTTAAAACAAATTTAGTATAGGAGATAAGATAATTGAACATAGAATACACAGCTACTGATAGATATTGATAGTTTCACTCAATACCACAAGTTACTACAAAACCAATACATTAACCTGAAAACTCAAGTTGTATTCTTAAATAGCCTCATCAAGTCAAGAATTTCAGATTGATGTGATGCATACCACCAAACCCATTCAGAAATACCTAAACCATCAGCTGTATACAATGGCTTTCTCAGATTAATGTTTAACAATGACTTTGAGTACATGAAGCCTGTAGGTCTTAGTGAGGACAATCCTTCTTCAAACCTCATGGAATGGCGTTACAGAATCACAAACAAAGAACTGTATCAAATAACAGAAACCACACCATTTGAAGACCTTCAGCAGCAGTAATGACTGAAATGGATAGCATACTGATAAATATTGAAAAGAAAATAATGAAATAATGAAGATATTGAAATTCTACACTACTTCAAACAAAAGGTTAAGAAGGAAACTCTCATCAATTCTGGAAACAGCTACTGGACATGAGAAACCTATTTTCTTGAGATAATTATTTTAATAAAAATGTTTTATAAATTTCAACTGACAGTAGAACTGGCCTTTTGGTCAATGAGTGCCAAATTCTTCCTTATAAGGAAACAGTTAATATTACATTTACCTTTACCATGAGTATGAAGTGAGCATAACAGATTTTTAATTTTCTGATTTCATTTTTAATAATGATAACTGTTATTCTACCTGTTTATATAAGGCGAGCATTTAACTTTTTCATACTAAATTTTACCCAATACAAGGACTGAGAGCCATTCAAGGCAGAGGTTTGGGTCAAAATGATATGATGAATGAGGTTTGTAATATGAATGGAAAAGAAGATGGTGAGGAGTAAAGATTATGATGATAAGGAGGAAAAATAATGACTGATCCTTGATTTAAAGAGAACAAGTGTTCAGGGGAGTATTCATGTGGGAGTCTGTTTCATAATATGTCAAGTCTTGGGATATAGATGCCTGAGTGTAACTTTCTTATTATATTGGAATGCGGTTGGTATGGAAAAGAAAATGCCTCATCATTTTTTTTTTTCAGTCTATATTTCTGAGATGAGGTATTATATACACTATTTACATTGTTCGAACTATCATCCTCATCTTCGTTGCCATATTTATCACAATGTTTCAGCTGTTGTATGCTCCAGCCTTCTTCAAGTGGTTGGAATGTTGAACTGACCCCTTTATTTTGCTCACTGGGGTAGACTGTTCTAGTTTCACATGCCATGTCTAATGGATGTCAGTTATCTGTTATTTCCTGTTAATTTCCCTCTCCAATTTCTCCACCACCTTAGCCAGGTATTGAACTCACACTCTTTTGGGTCCTGTCACTGGATCTAACTAATGCCTTTATCCACTGTGCTATGTGTCCTCTGGCTGAATCGTTGTGACAAATATGGCAACAAAGATGAGGACAATAGTATGAACAATGTAAATAGGGTACATTTCTTTTTGTGGGATTTTAAAAAAATCTGAGAGGCAAATTTGTAAGACTGCAGACATTAGGGAATTCAATTTTTGAAAGAAGAAAAGCCTAATTTCCACAGAAAAAAGTTATTAATATTTGAACCCTTATAAAAACTAAGGACATGCATGCTGATTTTTAAGGGAGACACTTAAAAGCCTACTATGCTAAATAAAAATAAAAAAATAACCACAACATGAACAAAGATCAAATATTTTTTAAAGTGATTATTAAATGCATGAAAGATTTTAAATTAATTAACAATAATAAATAAATTCAAGTTTATCTGGGAAGAACATCTTTTAGGATTTGTGATTGTC